CGAGTGATGACGAGTCAAAGACACCAGCTTTCATTTCATGGAGCTGCTACTGGATACGTTTACATCCAGTTCTGAATCGAACTCATAATAACCACCTGCTTTCTTTGTAGTAGGCAATCCATCAGAGTACATGGTGATCATTCTAACAATTATAGTGACAATAAAAGCAACACTAGAATAAAAACTGTGCGATGTGCTGTCTGGTCCCTGAGCCTGAGTTCATACAGTAAAGTTCAAATATTTGAAATCATAACTAAAATGTTCAGAATCACTGTGGAAAAGTTCAGAATCACCATTTAAAAATTCAAAATCACTGTTTAAAAGTTTGCAATCATCATTCAAAAGTTTGGGATCATTCATCAAAAGTCTGGGATTGCTTTCCAAAATGTTGGATTCACCATTCAAGAGATCAGAATCAACAATCAATATTTGGGAACTACTGTTTAAACGTTTCTAATCACCTTTCAAAAGTTTGATATCACTGTTCAAAATTTTGCATTCACTCATTAAATGTTTGGATTGATCATTCAAAATGTTCATTGTAATGTTTGGAATCACCGTTCAAAAGTTTGGAATCACCGTTCAAAAGTTCGGAATCACCATTCATAGGTTTGATTGGTGAGACCAAACTTCTGAACAGTGATTTCAAAGTTCAAAACCACCATTTAAAAAGTTTTAATCATGGTTATAAAGTATAGAATCACTGTTCCAATGTTCATTTCAAATGTTTAGAAGCACTGTTCAAAAGTTTGGAAACACTTTTTAAAAGTTTGGATTCACTGTTCAAAAGTTTGAACCAATGTTTTCAACACATGTACACAATGATTCTAATATTCTATTACAGTGCAGCTTCATAGGTTTCAACTATATAGTAGGAAGCTTAGAAGCTTTAAAAAAGGTTTAAAATTTTAGATTAGAATGAAGCTGTTAATGATACTAAAATGCCTAAGAAAGTTTAATAGCATTGAGAATTAAATTATGATAAAATTAATATCCAGATTTTTTCAAAATTTGTCATTAGTGGTGGTGTGATAGAGAAGATATCTACAACACCGGTATTACAAAATGACACAAATGTGTTTTATATGGCAAGCTGTTTTAGCTTTTAATCCTTTTATTCATGATGTGAGGAATTCAATTTACACATCTGAAAATTTAATTCTTACTAGTAAAAACTGAACTTTAACAGAAATGTAATTCTTGATATAAAGAATTCAAGTTTTACTAGTAAAAATTAAATTTCTACATGTGAAAATTCAGTTTTTACTAGTAAGAATTAAATTTTCAGATGTGTAAATTGAATTCATGATATCAAGAAAAAAGGATTAAAAGTTAAAACAGCTTGTCATAGTTTTATGTTCTGTGTTTCACTAAACTGTTTTTGCCACTTCAGCCCCAATTATTGTTTTCTCCTTCATCACCAACAGGGGGCGCCAATATCCCTTATTCGTATAGCCCCTCCATGCTCAACATAGAGGTGCAAACACGGCTCTAATCTGATCTCATCTAAAACAAAACAGTGAGAGAAATTTCTCTGGAACAAAGCAACACAGAACCTGCTAATATTTCATATTTCACATATTTCATCATGCATATGAATACAAAAAGAATTGATATTGTACATTACTCTTTTAACACCAAGTGCTATTACCAGTTTGCATATTTTTTGACAAAATCTCATCTTATTTGAAAAATAAAGCAATTATATGATATGGAACATATGGAAATGTTTTTGCGCTTTGTACATTGACTTCCGTATTAAATGCTCTGCACAAGACACAGTCAATATCAGACTGAGCCACAGCTACAGCAGTGCAATTCAATTCCCAATATTTGAATATTCCCTAATTCATACAGCTCTAAATAACTGAATGTAAAACCAAGAAACACAGCGCTGAATATAATCTTTGTTTTGCAGTGCAGCCTTTCTTGTCTAAACCCTCAGAGAAACACTTCTCCTGCTGCTCAGGGCACAACATGACCCGCCAAAGGAAAGAAAAAAGGAAAAAAAAGCCACATGACGGTACAGTGTGGAATTTGTGTGTGCAGACCCAGACCTGCTGTGTAATTACGGTTTAAGGGTGGGAGCCCAGTGTATTCTGGGGCAGCTAAAATTGTCACAGAATGAACACATACAGTACCAGTCAGAAGTTTGGACACACCAACTTGTATTATTGTCCACATTTTAGAATAGCGGTGAAGAATTAAAACAAGGAAATTATTCATATGGAATTATCCAGTGACCAAAAAGTCATACACAGTCATCAGACCTCGTGCCAAGCGATGGCTGGAGGGGTATAAAGCCTTCTGTCCAACAGTCCAAAAGGATGAGCTGGAGTGACGTTTGTGCTGCAGCACTAAAGATCCAACCTCAGTGCCTGACCCCACTAATGCTCTTGTGGCCTGACGCAATCAAATCCTTACGGCAATGTTCCAACATAAACACACTTAAAAATGATGGTTCTTCAATGGTTCTTTTAGTAAAGAAAATGGCTCTATGTAGAACCATGACCACTCAAGGAACTCTTTGCACGATTAAAGGGTTCTTTGCATCATGTAATCATTCATGGATTGAGAATGTGCTGTACATGGTTCTATTTAGAACCTAGTCTATATAGCACCAAATAAAGGTTCTTCTATTGTTACAATGTTAAGCTCCATCAATCTGAAGAACCATTTCATGATGCAAAGAACCCTTTAATCGTGCAAAGAGTTCCTTGAGTGTTCATGGTTCTTCATAGAGCAATTTTCTTTACTAAAAAACATTGAAGAACCATCATGTTTAAGTGTGTATGGTAAAGAACCTTTTTGAAAATGGCTCCATGTGGTGCCATATACAGCTCATTCGCCATCATGCTGAAGTGTGTGTGCAACAGATTCTCCATATATTTGAAGAACTATTTCACCATGCAGTGAACCATTTAAGAATGAAATGGTTCTATATAGCCTTCATTAAAGAACCCTTGAGGATCCACCTTTTTTAGTGTGTAGTATAAAACCTTCAAGAAGAGTAGATACAGCAAACTCCCCATTAATACCCCTTTTTTCTGAAGAAAAAGCAAGAGTTTTACAAACCTCCATCAGAAAATTTCTAGTGAATCAAATGCTGCTCAGAAATGTCTTCCAGATAAAAAAATGAATGGGTTCCTGTGGACCTTTTGTCCAAAACTGCTGGACAGCCGCAATGGATGCATGAAGGAACATGTTTATTTTTCTGTTTAGCTCCATTCACGCCCATTCATTGAAGACTCACTCACTTGCGTTTCGCAGTCGTCTGTTGGATGTAATGGGAGGAATAGGAAGTAGCCAGGCTTAAGTAGCCAGCCTTAAACTGGCTCTGATTCCACTTGCAAAGCTAAAGAAGCAAACTTCAAAACATGTCCTTGGCAGATTGACTACATTTGGGCTTCGGGGGAAACCTGAGATTTTTATTTGGGGTATGGGGGAATTCTTATACCACAGATTGCTTTCGACTGGACTCGAGTGTATAAAGAGGATGTTTTTCCGCCATATGGCCTAAAAATGTATAGTGAATTTGTTCTCTATGGAGCAGCCCACCCCACAACACCACCCCAACACAACACGCCGTGTGCTCTATAGTATCTCTGCTGAAAGAGCCACTTGACATTCACTGTTCAGCTCTCTCGTCTGTGAAGATTAAGCATGGAGAAGCCTGTGGAGAGAAGGGGAAGATAATTACTCCTCTGATGGGCTGATTACTGCTTTAGTAAATGTCACACACACATAAACACACACACACACACACACACACACACACACACACACACACGCACACACACACTGTGATTAGGAAAGATCAGATCTGTCCATGAGGACAGCAGAAAAAGTTAATGGTGAAGTGAAGAGCATGAATTTAAAAACTCCAACAACTCCAAAGTCTATCTATTTGTTCTTTCTCATAATTTTAATTATCTCTCTATGTCTTCACGTCTCTCTCTTTTATGTTCTCTCTCTGTGTTTCTCATTCTTTCTCTTTATCTCATTCTCCTGTGCATTAAGCTCCTGTTCTTTTGCCCTCAGACTGTAAAAGCGCCTCTTGGTTGACATTTGTAACTGTGTTTTTTATGGTTATTCTTCAAGATCCATTTCTGTGAGGCTCATCTCAGTTCTGCCTCAGAAATAGAGCTTGTGGATTGGCTCAGGTTCAACAAGCTGCACCCCTCTGATGCAGTACTGGTGCCTGTCGAGATTTCTCCTGAGTAACTGAACTCGCATCCCCACAGCACTGAAAATCCAGCACATAAAGCGTCGAAAATCTCGAAGAAAGCATCACTGCAGAGTGTTGTTAATTTGAATGACCAAAAAAATAGCAGTGTTCTTGTAGGCCAGCACTTCATAACTCACTGTGGCCAAGAATGGACATTTGGCTGACATGCAAAATAACCCAGAAAAGATTGTTGTTTTGTCTGACATGTAGGAGTAATTTTCAAAACAGAGCGGCAATAAAAAAAAATCCTCCACGAAACAAATGCACATACACATAAGGGACATATTATTACCTGTAAGAACTTATATATATATGTATAATACATATGGGAGATATTATTACTTGTAGGTGTTTACATACATGTATAATACATACAGGACATATTATTACTTAGAGGTGCTCACATACATGTGTAATACATATGGGCCATTTTAAGGGGGATTCTTAAGCTATGAATCACCACCCTTTCTTTTATTTTGTTGAATACACCAAGGATTTGTCTTTTCATGTCTTATATCTTTTTGTCTTCAGAGTATCTCCCTCTGTCTCTATCTATATTTCACACCCTGTTGTTTTCTCATTCCAAGGCCTTTTGATTGTGTGGTGCTGATCCTAGCATGCCCAGGCAGAGAGAGAGAGAGAGAGAGAGAGAGAGAGAGAGAGAGAGAGAGAGAGAGAGCGTACATGTTGAACTTGGCATGTCAGGACAGAGACACATATTTTGTGGCGTGTTGGCGTCACACACACATCCACACACACACACACACACACACACACACACGCACGTCCACACACACACACACACACACACACTAGCATGGATTCGAGGACTTAGCTGCTCTGATTTTCTGCAAAAGACTTTATAAACTTTAACATATATACAGCCTTATCACTTCCATCATCACCACCACCACCATCATCAGGTAAGCGTTCTGCCTCACCCTTATAAAGACAGATGAGAGAACGAAAACCAGCATGTATGACAGAAATTATGAAAGAAAGAGACGGATGAATACATCGGGCTGCCTCACACAGCGTCAAGAGGGAAAGATAAAGATAAAAAGAGAGACTTCAGTCGTGTCATAAGCTGCTTTATCTCCTCTTCTCTTCGTTGTTGTTGAGAGAGGAAGAGGCTTAGTAGTGAGAGTTTAAATCTCAGACCTCACAATTCAATTTGTTTATGCTTCTTTAGGAAAAAAGTCAATACAGTCTATAGTTTGACTCATGATTCAATTTAAGTTGATTGTATTGTTATAATTTTTTTATGTTATTTGTAAAAAGACATGGAAAACTAGAAGAATTATTTACACAAGAGAAGAATATATTTAAAAAAATATATATACCAAAAATAAAAAAGTGCACTTGTTAACATGTTGAATATTATTAAAATTGATTATAATGTACTCCGACATTACATGAATTGCAACCAACAGAAAGACGCCACACAATGCACTGATGCTTATTACACCCCCCATTATGCAGCAGTCATATGGTAGCCAAGGCAGGGTGGTGGGGCATAGTTTTAAGTTCAGTGTGAAGAGGCTGCAGACAGAACAGTATGAGTCGCTTTGCTTGCAGGCCACTTAGTTAACAACAGCTTAGAGGGAGGGCTCAGTTATGAGACTCTAAGTCAGCACTGCATCATACCAGCGCCTACTATAAACAGAATCTCACCTGAAATGTGAATGATAGTGTGGAACAGTTTGTGCTCCTAATTTCAGTGATTCTATGTCATGAATCCTTGTATATCCCCGTTGTTTATACATGACAGCATCTGTTAAATGAATAATGGTAACTGTTCCCTATTAATAGTACTGGATTGCATCACTAAGAAAAAGACATCTTGGTAGGTGAGCTGTAACTCTGACTGTGCTGTGAAAAACCTTGTCTCATCACCATTAGCATTACTATTTTAACCACCATTAACACCATTAACATTAGCTAGATTGGTGGACTGGATCCATATAACCTGCATTTCTCCAGAGTTCATAAAATATCAGTCCATTTACAAAAACTAATAAACAGTAAACTCATACACAGATATAAAGCTGAAGTCAGCATCTTATTCACCAGCTTCTCATTTGAATTTTCCATTCTACCTTAAATGGTGCTGCAGCCACACTGAGGCGCCTTACATGTAGAACAAATTACAGAAAGTATTTAATGAACAGCTAATGAGCAGCACTGCAGAGCAGCTGTTGAAGCATCTCACTGGCTGATCTAATGCAGCGTTCCAAACCACATACTTCTGTACTTCACCTACTGCACTTCTAATGGTATATGTGCTATTTTTACACACTATTTAATGTGCTAGTGTGTGGTTTGGGACAGGGTGCAAGTAAAGCAGCAGGAAATCTCAGCCATTTAGATTTCAGCTTTCATTTGTTATTACTACAGCAACAAATCAAATAAATCTGCGGCAATACACTCAAATAAAGCAGTTTATACACTTTGAAAATTAGAATAAAAAAATGACACCATAACAAAATGTGTTTTACTGCTTTTGCTGGATATGCGTTCATTTAGTGTTGGCTTTGTTAGCAACTCGTAGTGAAATATTTCTTTAATTCTGTATTTTCCCTAAAAGGTTTTGTGAGCTTTTGTTCTATAAAGCAGGAGAAATAAGTCTGTGCAATACGTAAATATATTGTACAATAATTCCTGTGGTGTTAGCTAATCCTGACTGTTAGCCTAGCCAGAGCTACACGCTACTACATACATCCAAGCTAGCATTAGTGCAATTCTTATGTTGGTCATCAAACAAAATTATGAGGAAAATAGTGATTCTGTTTGTGTTATTCAGCTTAAAATGCATTCCAGAGACGATTTTACCCTTTTAGTCAGAGTAAAGAAGCCGAGCTAAGGTATCTACATAGCTAACTTTAGCTGTTAGCTTGTTCTCTTCATTTGACGAATCATTTTTGTCATTCAAGTAATCCTCTTTCTTAATTGTTTTGATGTTTTGAAGACAGATATATGGCTAAAATGAGAGATTTGGCTTCTGAGCAGTAATGTTAGTTTAATAAAACAGCCGACCCCAAAAATCTACTCTGACGCTATTGTAGTTTTGTTGATTTCCTCCCTGAGACTGTGCTGCAGGATGTGACTAACGTTGGTTCACACGTTGGCGGTGGACGGACGACGGAAAACTGGATATTCCATTTTTTTAAATGGAACCGAGATGGAAAATTCTGCCACTGCCGGCAGACCTCAGCAGAAAGCGGAATGTTCTATCAAGAGTTCAGTTTTCCCAACTTTAGCTGTCGACCACAACAGCGAATTAACCTGTATGTTCATGTTTTTGGTAGTCATGTACGCCAAATCTGTGATTATTTCCGATGAACACAGTATTATACAACAAAAAATAAAAATTACAGAGAATCCTCCTGAATTTTCCACAAATTAAATGAATAAAATACACTGCTAAAGCTCTCGTTGATAATCATTCATTTTTGCGGGTAATGCTGTCACCATTCCAACGTTTATGTGGAATTATGCCGCTCGTTCGCTCGATCGGTCGTGTACTGCTAAAAGGCATGGAACGACGTTTTTTCAATGCCAACAGATGTAATGATGGTTACCTTTTTCATTTTGGCCCGATTATCCATTAAAATACTAGTGTTGTGATGAATCACTTATGAAAGGCTGACATGAATGTTTTTATGCAAAAGCTCCCCAATAATATGCAAATAAGCGTCATAGTTTCTCACTGAATACAGAAACTGTCTCCAAATCTCAAAACTGTTAGCAGATTTAAAATGCCAACTGTGTCTTTGGCATCTCTCGGATAGTTGCAGATGTTTGGTAAGTACGCGTATGTGTGAGTGGATGTTTCATCTACGATTCAAAAGCTTTTGAAAATGCCATGAAGTTTTCAACACCATGTTATTACAGCTTTGATGAGAAAAAGTCAAGTTTCTTCTAGTTTCCTGTGACTGGGCACATTATTCACCTGCAGCATTATTAACCGCAGGAGAAATAAGGATACACTCATTTAAGGAAACAATGCATTACTATATATGAATACAAAACTATAATAACACATAAACAATGTTTCATCCTTTGTTAATTCAGAGTCTGATAGGAAGCCGTATATCACTGCCATGCTGTGAGGAGACATTTCACAATTGTGTAAATAACCTGTAAAGTAGTACTGAAAATGACTTCCTGTTAAGTGGCATTCAGGTCTAAAATTAGAGTTCAATGTGTTACTTGTTGTGTTACGCAGTATTTTGTAACACAGCCAAGAATAGGATGTAACAGAATACAAATATTGGGAATATGTATTCAGAATAGAGAAATGAAGTATGTGTATTCAGTCTACATTACATTTTTGAAGGCAGTATTCAGAATACAGCTACATTTTACATTTTCAGGATAAAATCTTCAAAAGAAACACCAACAATAGTTGTTTAACTAATTTAAGATTAGCATATGGCCTGTAGCAGACATGCTTGTTGAATGAACTCTAAAGAGGACCTCAATTTATGGCTTCTTTACATACACCTTATTAGAAGCTCCCACTAAAGCCTGAGTAGACTGATAAATCAACGTGATGATCAGTTATTAATCTCAGTGTTACTGAGCTCTGCTAAAGCCTGAGTAGAATGATAAATCAATGTGATCAGTTATTAATCTCAGCGTTACTGAGCTCTGCTAAAGCCTGAGTAGACTGATAAATCAATGTGGTCAGTTATTAATCTCAGTGTTACTGAGCTCTGCTAAAGCCTGAGTAGACTGATAAATCAATGTGATGATCAGTTATTAATCTGAGTGTTACTGAGCTCTGCTAAAGCCTGAGTAGACTGATAAATCAATGTGATGATCAGTTATTAATCTGAGTGTTACTGAGCTCCGCTAAAGCCTGAGTAAACTGATAAATCAATGTAATGATCAGTTATTAGTCTCAGTGTTACTGAGCTCTGCTAAAGCCTGAGTAGACTGATAAATCAATGTGGTCAGTTATTAATCTCAGCGTTACTGAGCTCGGCTAAAGCCTGAGTAGACTGATAAATCAATGTGATGATCAGTTATTAATCTCAGTGATACTGAGCTCTGCTAAAGCCTGAGTAGACTGATAAATCAATGTGGTCAGTTATTAATCTCAGCGTTACTGAGCTCTGCTGAAGCCTGAGTAGACTGATAAATCAATGTGATGATCAGTTATTAATCTCAGTGATACTGAGCTCTGTTAAGGTCTGAGCAGTAGGCTTAGTACTAGTAATAATCTCAGTTTAGGAGCACCTTATATGATAAGACAGAAAAAAATGTGGAGAGTAGCTTAATGAGCTAGAATGAGCTTAAAATAAAAGCTAATTTTCATGAAACGTATTGACAGAAGAATTACATGAAGAAAACTGCCAACCTGTAACAGTGAGGAACAGTAATTATAAAACAACAAAATTATTTTCTCATGTGCTTCAACATTCCTAATATACCTATCTTCTCAAAACAGTGACCTTTATGGTCAACCTTATACATTTAACCATGTAATATGTCTGTAAGTTGATTGACCTGTAGCAAGTATAAGAGGTATTATTGTTAATTTATGTAAACAGCCATGTAAACTCATGGCTGTTGCATTTCTTAACCCATCCAGTTTAATGAATGATCTAGCGTCCCCTTATTTAGCTGAACAAATATCCTCTATACTCCTGCTTGTTTTCTGAAGTCCTCTGATGCTGGACTCTGCCTTTAACCCCTTTAAAATTCCAGGCTTTATACATACTAAGGCTTATTATGCTAAGCTGTTCTTAGGCTGTAGAAGTGTGTAATAAAACTTTGGGCTTTTAGTGTTGTGGCCCCTACATTATGGAACTCTCTTCCTTTACTTTTAACTGCTCCGCCCTGTCCTTCTGCAGAGTCCACCTCAGAATTTTCCTGTTTTCTCAGTACTTTCATTCTTCTACTTCTCTTATTATTATTTTTATTGTTATTATTATTTTGTGTATGTATTAGGATGATGTAAAGTCTTTGGCCTTGGGAATGTGAAAGTTGCTATAGAAACTGAACTTAATTATTAAGTAATCATGTTTATAACATATGTTGTGAAGGTTACATGACAACCTTATTAGTGCTGTGATGAATCACTCATGAAAGGCTGACATGGGTGTTTAATGCAACTGAAGGCCTATTACATGCAAATGAGCTACAGAAATGCTCACTGCATAGAGAAACTGTCTCAAAGTCCCGAAATTATTAACACATTTAAATGAACAAATCACTCTTTGGCTAATCTAGAGAACATTCAAACAGATGTTTGATATGTATGTGTTGATAAGCAGATGTGTGATAAAACTCTGCATATCTCCTATGTGAGCTTTTGGAAGACGATTGCAAGACTTTTTTTGAGATCTGAGGCAGAGTTTTTATGTTCACTCTCTGTGTGTGTGTGTGTGTGTGTGTATGTGTGTGTATATGTGCATGTTTTGCCACGATGCAAAAGCTTTTGAAAATGTTGTGAAGTTTGCAGTCCATCATGATATCAGTTATTCAAAGATCGAGTCATTTCAAGTTTTCTGTAATTGAACACTGCCTTTTTCACTGTAGTTGAAAGTAATTCATAGTAATGTCACCAAAAGAAAAGTAAAACTTCATCCACAAGTCTGGCTTTTAATTAAACTTCCCCCAAATTTAACTCTAGTTGAACCGAATCTAATAACCCAGGCTTTCCACAGTCCAAAAAAAGGTTAAGGATTGCATTCCAAATCAAATTCTTCATATTAGATTAATCTGGCATTGTTTCACTAGTGATTTTAGTTGCTATAACTGTGTTGGCTAGTTCTTAACAGCTGATTTGTAGATTGTTATCAACACAGCTGTGACTACAGCTGGGTATAATTCAAACATTTTCAATACTGAAACCAGTACCTGGACTTTGGTACCGATTGCTGAATGTTTGAGTGTGGCTTTAACCAGTAATGAGTGTTAGTTGCTAGAAGTGGGAGTATTTACTGACCGCAACAGACTGTGGACTAATCAAACAGCACTGATGTTAATAACATGAATACTACATTTAATTTAGACAGCCAATCGGCATCCTAGATTTTGTACCAGGCATACTTATTGGATCATGGAAGCTGTTAAGACAGACTATTTCATCCTCGAAATTTTGTATTGATTGATATGGAGTTTAATACTTGGTAGTATTGAAGTTTGGTACCATAAAACTATTGAACCCTAGCAGTAACACTGACATCATAGTGGTCATGGTGGTGTGTTTGCTGCTGGTATGTGTTCCAGACACAGTGGTGTCCGCTGGGCTTTTTGCACATGTGTCAATGGTTAAGAGTGGACCACCATCCAAAAATATCCAGCCAAGAGCAGCTCTGTGGTTAGATACTAACAACTGATGAAAGGTGAAAGGATGGCTAGTACAAACTGTGGTATGGTTTCTAACTGTACAAAACCAAGGTGGAGCTACAGGAGATAAAGTGGCCAGCAGGTGTACACAGTGTGTCGAAACTCCATCCTGGGTGTGATACATTTATACAAGCACCATGTCAGTGTCACTGTCTTGCTGAGAGTGGTCCAGCACTCTAATAATATCTGCTCAGTGGTGGACTTGCATTATTGAACGGGTGGATGTGATCAACTGTAGAGCAACAGTTAGGCTACAACTGAGTCAGCCAGTTTTCTGTGAGATTTTAACCCAGATGTAGTGCAGCTTCCGGGGGTTTTGTTTTGTTTTGTTTACAATATGACGAATACCAAGAGGTTGGAAGTACTGCTGAGCAATTTCACCATGAACAGAACTGGACATTCTTCTTTTTGGACCCAAATCAGAATTAGAATCACCTTTTTTTACTTTTATTGGATTATTAAGTGCATATAAATGCACTCAGTGTAAAACAAACTCACTGCTTAGCAGGAGTTTTGACCTATGTATTTGTATCTTCAGGGCAGGAAGTTGTCATGGATCCTGGAGACTGGATTCCTGATGATGTCGCCCAGTGGCTGGATCAGATCGGAATTCACCAGCACCAGCAGTCTCTGGACCTGCTGTATGGTATGAACACACGTAATGCAGTGAACTTACTTTATTCAGATGTGTCCATCATTTCCAACTGAACAAAATATATTGAAGGATGGATTACTGACTGGCCCATTGAGTTCTAACCATCTTGGTCACGCCCCATGGCCTTGGGGGTGGTTTTAAAACCACATGGCTCAAAGTGGCTCAAATACATGGGAGAATATCTGACTGCAGATGTAAATATCAGATGAGCAAATAGACCTTGAGTTTGTTCAAATGACTACATAAACGAAATGAATGAAGAAACTGTATCTATCCTCAGGCCCTGTGAGTTTTTTATGTTATCTTTTATATATAAATGATATATCCAAGTTTTTATGTTATTAAGAACCTGTGAGTTTGTTGTTCTTACTCAAACGGCTGTTTTAGACTATGTGTGATAGTGGTGGTTGTTTCTCCCTTTCCATGCACGTAGGGCAGCTTTTGCTATTGCATTAAGACTCAGTTTGAATTGAAAGAAAAATAAAACGCTGCTGTTGGAAGAAAACCTCGTTTCTCCAGAATGGTAACTTTACTTTTAATGTAAGTCAATGGAACCAGACTTTTTTCCAAGTCAATTTGGTCCATTTCTTTTGGTCCGTTCTTCATGAAATTTACACACAATGTAAAGGGCAACAGGCAATTATAAATGATGTCAAAAACTGAAAAACAAAATTGAAGATACAAGGTTTTTTTCTGACAGCAGCGAAAAGAAACCTTGATTCAAATCCTACAAAGAAAGGACTGTTATGATGTAGACACAGTAAGATATTGCATATTAAGGCTAATTTAGTTATTTCCAGAAACAAAAACTAAGTGTTTCTGAAAGCATACATACACACATCATCTAAACCGCTTATCCTTCTGGGTCGCGGTGGGGTGCTGGAGCCTATCCCAGCTGTCATTGGGCGGAAGGCAGGATACACCCTGGACAGGTCACCAGTCCATCGCAGGGCAGACAGACAGACATACACATTCACACACACCTAGGGGCAATTTAGCATGTCTAATTAGCTTATCTGCATGTTTTTGGACTGTGGGAGGAAACCTATGCAGACACAGGGAGAACAGGCAAACTCCACACAGAAAGTCGCCCGGCCGGGAATCGAACCCAGGCCATTCTCGCTGTGAGGCAACAGCGCTACTCACTGCGCCACCGTGCTGCCTAAATATAAACATGAGATATTTAAAACATACATTATATACATACTATACCACGCATATGTTACAACAACATTTTTTCAACTAAAAATAATATTAAATTTTGAGTATTGTTCCACTCTTTACCTTTATTACAGCTTCCATTCTTTTCAGGAAACCCACTTTGAGTTGTTTAAGAAATCTGCAGCCACACTTTCAAGGTTTAGCCTTAGACGTTGGTCATATTTTCTGCTTTTCATGATCCAAGTAGTCTCAGATCTCCATTTTCTGTGTTCCAGTCAATTTTGGGTCTATTTACTTTTCTCAGTGAGGCTTCTTAACAGCTACACATCCTTTTAGACCCATAGCGCTGAGTTGTCATCTCTAACTGGAAGGATGGACCTGTGGATGTTTTCAGATCCAAAGAAATTTGAATTCTCCTCTCTCTCAAAGATAAAAGCTTAAAGTGCTGTTTATCTGATGGGGACAGTTTTGGTGGTCTACAGGTCTTGGTTGTCCTATTTTTTTTTCAATTTTTGAAGTCCAGTTTTGGAAACTCCTGTTTTTTCACTTACTTCCTTTTGACTTTCCTCTTCCTAAGGTGGACTATCTAACATCTAATCTCAGAAATATCGCCTTTAGTCATGTTAGATGCTCATGAGAAAAAAATGTGAAGGCAGCTGAGGTGAGTTGGGGGAGCTGTTAGTGTGAATGTTAGAGCCTCTATGAAGGGAAACATAATATCAGTGACTCCTTTAGGAAGCTTTTGTTGGAAGGAAGCAGCTGTAACTGGTTGGTTTTAAGATTCGAAGGATGGAAGATTTAGAGTGGACAAATGAAATACTGATGGATTTGATATTGTACTTAGTGTTGCAGGCATTTGTATAATTTTCTATCAAATGTATGTTTTTTTCTGACACTGAAAAATGATCTCTGACTTTTGCACAGTACCGTAGATTTTATTCGTGCAATGTCCACATTTACATCAATTAAATTCAATGCATCACACGCATTTATGCCCACGCAAAGAAAGAGACTTCAAAGAAAAAGGCCCCCTTGATGAGCAAACCCCACACAGCCTCCGTCAGATGAGTAAATCTCGTCTGAGTCTGAGGACATTCAGTAATGAATGTTTCTCGTAAAGTCATTTCACGAAGGTTAATTATGTTTTAAAAGTGCTGCTGGTTGAAATGAATTCCTGTTTCTTTTAGATTTGGTATAGTTTGAGCACAATGCAGGGAAAAGATCTTATTTGGGTTTCCATGGTAGCTTAACCAGCGATGTCATTAATTATGTTTTGTTATGAATAGGAAGTCATTTGAATTTTAATTACTTTTTTTATAAATTCCATTATAAAAGTAAGTGTCTCGAAGTAATTACATTGTACCATATTCATATACTATATTGCCAAAAAGATTCGCTCGTCTGCCTTCACATGCATATGAACTTGAGTGACATCCCATTCTTAATCCATAGGGTTTAATATGATGTCGGCCCACCCTTTGCAGCTATAACAGCTTCAACTCTTCTGGGAAGGCTTTCCTCAAGGCTTAGGAGTGTTTATGGGAGTTTTTGACCATTCTTCCAGAAGCGCATTTGTGAGGTCAGACACTGATGTTGGACGAGAAGGCCTGGCTGACAGTCTCCGCTCTAATTCATCCCAAAGGTGTTCTATCGGGTTGAGGTCAGGACTCTATGCAGGCCAGTCAATTTCTTCCACACCAAACTCGCTCATCCATGTCTTTATGGACTTTGCTTTGTGCACTGGTGCGCAGTCATGTTGGAACAGAAAGGGGCCGTCCCCAAACTGTTCCCACAAAGTTGGGAGCATGAAATTGTCCAAAATCTCTTGGTGCTGAAGCATTAAGAGTTCCTTTCACCGGAACTAAGAGGCCGAGCCCAACTCCTGAAAAACAACCCCACACCATAATCCCCCTCCACCAAACTTTACACTCGGCACAATGCAGTCAGACAAGTACCGTTCTCCTGGCAACCGCCAAACCCAGACTTGTCCATTGGATTGCCAGATGGAGAAGCGTGATTGGTCACTCCAGAGAACACGTCTCCACTGCTCTAGAGTCCAGTGGCGGCGCTTTACACCACTGCATTCAACGCTTTGCATTGTGTTTGGTGATGTAAGGCTTGGATGGCTCGGCCATGGAAACCCATTCCATGAAGCTCTCTACGCTGTTCTTGAGCTAATCTGAAGGCCACATGAAGTTTGGGGGTCTGTAGCGACTGGACTTATCTCGGTACCACGCTGGAATTCACTGAGCTCCTGAGAGCGACCCATTTTTTCACAAATGTTTGTAGAAGCAGTCTGCAAGCCTAGGGGCTTGGTTTTATACACCTGTGGCCATGGAAGTGATTGGAACACCTGAATTCAATGGTTTGGATGGGTGAGTGAACACAAGTATAATTACTTGTATTGCTTCTATTATACAAACCCATTTCCAAAATGTGGAGACAGTAGGTAAAATGTGAATACAAACTGATTGTAGTGATTTATAAATCTATGTTTACCTGTATTTAAACTAAAGCAGTACAAAGACAATATATTTAATGTTTTATTTTATTAGCCTTAGAACTTTTTTGGTTAATATACGCTTGGTCTCAAATTGATGCCTGCAACACATTCCAAAAAAGTTAGGACAGGGGCATTTTCAGACTAGGAATGCTGTGAAATGTTTAAAATACAGGGTGATTCAAAAAAGATTTATCTGATTTCAAAGCTCCATATTTTTACCACTGTGAGACGCCTAGGAACCAATCACATACCAATAGAATGAGGGTCATAGAGTTTCTGACTATCACCGGAAGATGGCTCCCTTCAGTCTGCGAGGAGATGCAGCCCCTGAGCAGAAAGCATTCTGCGTTCTCCACTTCAATAAGAGTGAATCAGTCATAACTGTGCAGTGTGATTTTCGTGGGCAGTGAAGCTCCAACAGCTCAGAGCGTTCGTCGTTGGTTCCAAAACACTGGATGATCTCCGAAATCGCACTGAAAGAGCCGTGAGTGCAGCGACACCCGACATGCTCAATTGAGTATGGGGTGAGTTTGACTATGGCGTTGATGTTGTCCGTACAGTTGGAGGAGATTTATATAGAGCACTTGTAAAATTACGTAATAAACTTTATGCTCCTTTAAACCATTTAGAATTTACTGCATTGATCTGTAATGATTTACAAATAAAATAAATCATTTTGAAATCTGATGAATCTTTTTGAATCACCCTGTACTTCTTAAACAGGTGATACACTCATGCTTAGATGTAAAAGGAGCACCCAGGAAAGGCCTACTTCTATATCAACATGGACAAGTCAAGACTCACCACTTTGGAAACAGTTTAAACATAACATTCCTCAGCAAACAATAGCAAGGATATTAGGCATTGCATCCTCTACAGTGCATTACATGATAAAAAAAATTCAGGGAATCCAGTAAAATCTGTGTAAAGGAAAAAGATGAAAACAACAAATAAATGCCTGTAACCTTTAATCCCTCAGACAGCACTGCATTAAAAACCACGTGATCTCCCAGGAAGCTCTGGGAGATTGAGTCCTTGGAAGCAGGCTCAGCAGGAGGCATAACACTAAGACTGTACTTCATAGTGGGTGTTTTTTTGTCATCAACGTCCAGAAACACTGCTGACTTCTCTGGGCTCAAGCTCATCTGAGATGAACTGATACACTCTGGAAACATGTACTGTGGTCTGAGGGACCAACCTTTCAGATTATGGAAATAATGGACGTCGTGTTCTCCAGACGAAGAAGAAAAGGATCATCCAGACTGTTAACAGTGTAAAGTTTAAAAGACTGGGTCTGTCATGGTATGGGAGTGTATTAATGGGTAAC